GGTTACATAAGAACCTAAGAGAAGCCAATGCTGGATCAGGCCAATGGCCAATGGAGGCTGAGGAGTAGAGCAGAGCTGAGCAGGCCACTGAAGATGGGACACGCTGGCAAAATGTGCTGGTGGGAAGAGCCATCCAGTTGCTGTGTGGCAGGTGGGGCTGAGCGAGCTCTTGACAGAAACGGCTCTTTTTCAAAAACAGCTCTTGTCAGAACTGTGGCTTGCCCAAGGTCATCCAGCAGCTGCAAGTGGAGGAGTGGGGAATCAAACCTGGTTCTCCCAGATTAGACTCCGTGCACTTAACCATGACACCAAACTGGCTTAAAGGTTTTCAGGCAGCAAAAGCTGGGGGGGGGGGGACTATCTTTCCCAGAATCCCTTGAGTCCTGCTGTCAGTCAGGAAAGATAAATAGTGACCTAGAAGAAGATGAAGAGATTGGATTTATACCCTGCCCTTCACTACCCAAAGGTGTCTCAGAGCGGTTTACAATCCCCTTCCCCTTCCCCTCCCCACAACAGACACCCTGTGAGGCACGTGAGGCTGAGAGAGCTCTTGACAGAAACAGCTCTTTTTCAAGGACAGCTCTTATCAGAACTACGGCTTGCCCAAGGTCATCCAGCAGCTGCAAGTGGGGGAGTGGGGAATCAAACCCGGTTCTCCCAGATTAGAGTCCACACACTTAACCACTACACCATATTGAGGACAGCACTACATGTGATTCAGGGGATCTGTGGTCAGAATTTTTCTTTCTTTCTTAAATGCTAAGGACAGCTGTGTGAGGGGGGCGGGGGCGGGATACAAGCTGGGGCTGCATCTAAAGGGGAGGCGCATGCCGTTGTCTTGGTCTCCCTCGCCCCCTCTGAACCTCCAGGGGTAAACATGCAGGTAGCCATATGGCATTTGTTAGAGATGTGCACTGGAAGCCAAAGTAATCAGAATCGATCTGATCTGTTTGTTAACCTCGGAAAGGTAACTGGGGCAAATCAAATCACCTCTGTCTTTCAATAATGACCTGAATAGCCCCCTTACCCTGCACCAGGGCTACAGTCCATAGTCTCCCTTCCAACCCGCATCCAGGGGCACCTTTAAGAGTTTAATTCTGCATGCACACGAAAACTTATACCCAGAATTAAACTCTGTTGAGTGCACATGAAAATTTATACCCAGAATTGAACTTTGTTGCATGCACACGAAAGTTTATATCCAGAATTAAACTTTGTTGCATGCACATGGAAATTTATACCCAAAATTAAACTTTGTTGGAGGCACATGAAAAATTATACCCAGAATTAAACTCTGTTGCATGCACACGAAAGTTTATATCCAGAATTAAACTTTGTTGAATGCACATGAAAACTTATACCCAGAATTAAACTTTGTTGCATGCACATGAAAACCTATACCCAGAATTAAACTTCCTTGGAGGCACACGAAAATTTATACCCGGAATTAAACTCTGTTGCATGCACATGAAAGTTTATATCCAGAATTAAACTTTGTTGCATGCACATGAAAACTTATACCCAGAATTAAACTTTGTTGCATGCACATTGAAAAGTATGCAGACGGAGAGTGATTCAGCTAAGCATACCTTTATTTAGTTAAGAACAAAGACAACTGACCGGCTCGCAGGCCGGTTTATATGCGTTCAGAAAACCCGCCACCAAACTCACCTAAACACACCCCCTACTCCCGATTGGCTATTTATAGTAACCGAGAGACCTATTGGCCTCCCGGCTGGGGACCTAGCCCTTTCATTGTCTTTAGACCTTAAGCTATAGAGGAATTGTGCCTGGCCAGCCCGGGCAATTCCGGGCATGTCAGGCTGAATACATTACACACATGAAAACTTATACCCAGAATTAAACTTCCTTGGAGGCACACGAAAATTTATACCCGGAATTAAACTCTGTTGCATGCACACGAAAGTTTATACCCAGAATTAAACTTTGTTGGAGGCACACGAAACCTTATACCCGGAATTAAACTCTGTTGCATGCACACGGAAGTTTATGCCCAGAATTGAACTTTGTTGCATGCGCATGAAAACTTATACCCAGAATTAAACTTTGTTGCATGCACATGAAAACGTATACCCAAAATTAAACTTTGTTGGAGGCACACGAAAACTTATACCCGGAATTAAACTCTGTTGCATGCACACGGAAGTTTATGCCCAGAATTGAACTTTGTTGGTCTTAAATGTGCCACTCGACTCAAGCTTTGCTCTGTTGCTCCAGACCAGCAGGGCTTCCCACGCACCTGTAGGTACAGTTATGTTTGCAACGATGAGATCTCAGCTGAAGCTCAACCAAATGTCAAGTGGTTGAGGTGGAGGTCAGAAGCCCCCCCCCCGCCCCCGGGTCCAAGTGGGCTGCCTTGAATATATCCTACTATCAATGCATAATAGTGTTGCCAACCTCCAGGTGGCGCAGAGTCCTCCCAGAGTTACTACTGATCTCCAGATGGCAGGCATCAGTTGCCCTGGAGAACACGGCAGCTTTGGAGGATGGACCTCAGGCCCCTAGCCAGGATTATTTTTAGTTGGGGGGGCGGGCATTTAAAAAGTCAGGGGCAGTGTTCCCTCTAAGCTGAGTTAGTGTGAGCTAGCTCACAGTTTTTTAGCCTCTAGCTCACACATTTCTGTCCTAGCTCAGGAAGGATGTCTCCAGAGCAAACTAATTATGCAGTAGCCAAATCATGACCTCACAACTTTAATGTCAGTAGCTCACAAAGTAGAATTTTTGCTCACAAGACTACATAGCTTAGAGGGAACATTGGTCAGGGGGCACTGAAATTCTTTGGACCCTATTATGAAGAAGAAGAGGAGGAGGAGGAGGAGGAGGGGGAGATTAGATTTATACCCCGCCCTTCACTACACAAAGGAGTCTCAGTGGCTTACAAACTCCTTTCCCTTCCCCTCCCCACAACAGACACCCTGTGAGGTAGGTGGGGCTAAGAGAGCTCTGGCAGAAACGGCTCTTTTTCAAGGACAGCTCTTATCAGAACTACGGCTTGCCCAAGGTCATCCAGCAGCCGCAAGTGGAGGAGTGGGGAATCAAACCTGGTTCTCCCAGATTAAAGAAGAAGAAGAAGAGGAGGAGGAGGAAGAGATGGAGTCACAGAGTGGCTTACAAACTCCTTTCCCTCCCCCTCCCCACAACAGACACCCTGTGAGGTAGATGGGGCTGAGAGAGCTCTGACAGAAACTGCTCTTTTTCAAGAACAGCTCTTATCAGAACTACGTCTTGCCCAAGGTCATCCAGCCTGGTGCAAGTGGAGGAGTGGGGAATCAAACCCCGTTCTCCCAGATTAGAGTCCGCGCACTTAACCACGACACCTAACAGGCTAGGATAGGGTTGCTCGGTCTCCTGGTATAGAAGAAGAAGAGAAGAGGTGGGATTTATACCCCACCCTTCACTACCCAAAGGAGTCTCAGAGCGGCTTGCAAACTCCTTTTCCTTCCCCTCCCCCCCACAGACACCCTGTGAGCAGGGTACCCTCTAAGCTGAGTTAGTGTGAGCCTCTGGCTCACACGTTTTTGTCTTAGCTCAGGAAGGATGGCTCTAAGAAACTGCTCTTTTTCAAGGACAGCTCTTATCAGAAGTACCAAACAGAACCACCAAACAAAGAAGAAGAAGAGGAGGAGATTGGATTTATATCCCGCCCTTCACTACCCGAAGAAGTCTCAGAGCAGCTTACAAACTCCTTTCCCTTCCCCTCCCCATAACAGAAACCCTGTGTGGTAGGTGGTGCTGAGAGAGCTCTGACAGAAACGGCTCTTTCTCAAGAACAGCTCTGGTAGAACTATGGCTTGCCCAAGGTCATCCAGCAGGTGTAAGTGGAGGAGTGGGGAATCAAACCCGGTTCTCCCAGATTAGAGTCTGCGCACTTAACCAAACTGGCATTACATCCCTGCTGAGTTGCCCTCCTTTCCCCAAATTCTGCCCTTCCCAGGCTCTGCCCCAAATCTCCAACCTGGAGTTGGCAACCTTGGATTGCCCAAATGTACTTTGCAGAACACCTAAAGGGAATGGCAGTTCTTTGTCCCCAGGGATGCACCATTTCAGTTGGACTGTGGGAGGGAGAGGAAAGGGATACCAAAGCACAGTGCCAATGAATGCAGTCCCCCTGGGTCCTTGTATGAGCCTAATGGTCTCTCCTGACAGCAGAACCCCCCCCCCCCCCCCCCCCACAAACACCTTT